TAGGGAGGTGAGTAAGAGGAAAGTTTAAAGAAAGGATACAGAAGGGAAAAGTAAGGAAAGCGATGAAGCTTGAGAGGTATGGAGGAAAGCAGGATAAGATCATTAGGGAGGGCGAAAAGAGAAGGAGGTGGGAATATAGAAGTTGTAGGGAAAGAAAAGTAAAAGCGCAATAAATTAAGGTAATGTAAGACGGTGGAAGAGCTTGGAATGAATTTAGGTGACGGGAGAGACTTACTGATGTGGGCATGTCAGTATCATGTGGTTTCTGAGAGATTTAGATTCAACGCTGACCAAACCCGAATGACAGATGAAGTACTGATTAGTGAATAGCAATTTCTAATACAAATCTTATAAATTTAAACCGCTATATCGAAAAACCTGCTAAAATAGCCACCAGAAAGCGCTGGATTCAAAAGAACTGAACTAGTGTTTCAGGATCTAGGAAACTTTCTTTCTTTTGATATTTAAAATTTATTTTGAAAATTTTAGAGAGTTGTCAGCTACAGTTGTTTGAGAGGATATTTTTTAATAAACACTTGAATTTTGCTTTGAGCTCTACAGTGTTGTGTTTCCGATCATATCTGCAAACTTCTGAACTCTGGTAACCCGTTTATGGCACGAATTTTGATCAGCGATTTTTACATGCGAAACATTAAAGTCATTATTCCAAAAATACATTAGATCAATAAAACGCTGTTCACTAGTCTGTTAGAATCCTTTCTCTGATTTTCCTGACGGAATAGTCGATATGAAGTAAATTGCCACTTCAGGAGAAAGTTCATTTACATGAGCAGTAGTTTACTAAAAATATTACCGCTTGGTTGGTTTTTACTTGTTTAGCAACATAAATCAACGAAGAAAATGACAAAAATTGGGACCTCTGGTCACTTAAATCCAGGTTTCAAAAGATTCCTCATCTATACACACACAACTATCAAATCACTCATCCTTTTGACTGTTAACCAGTACCTAGGCATGAGGCGAACGTCAGGACTGGACAATTGGAATAGAGGCAGATTAGGATTCTATAAAGCCTGCTAAATTTAATGAGTGAAAAAAGTAATGGTATTACGGCAGCAAAACTGCCTGTTCACAAGCTTCTTCTAGTATTGCAAAAACTTAAAAAAATTAGTAGACCTTTGCGGCGGCTACTTTAAGTATTATAACAGTATTTTTATTTTGATACACCCTTCTTTTTTCGCACACAACTTTTGTATCTGCTTATTAATTATCATTATTTGTCTTCTTTAACTGGCAGTCTTTTACTGATTTACGGCAGTTATCATAATATCTACTGTCAGGTAAAGGGGGACGGCAAGCGTGACAAGAATAGTGGGAAATTTACCTCACAAAGCACTCTAAGACAGATTCTACTATGGACAAGCGAATCAACCTCAGTCATAATCCGAAACTAATAAAGTCATGGAAAAGAGAAAAATAGAAATAATGAAGTCTTCAAAGACTGTTGATGCGTTTGGGAAATGATGGGAAAAAGTTTATAACTTATAACACACTGTTCTTGCACGTATTCTCCCTAACAATACGCCTCCTGGATTACAGATGTTTCTCACAGTACTTAGACTCTATAGTAAAGGATATTTTGTTAGTTATATAGTGTCATCGGGGAGGCCAAATGTATGAACGGATTCTACGGCTGTTGAAAAAAAGGATTTTTTCTCCTTTCCAGAAAGACCAGTTTTTATTATGTTAATAAAACACCTGTTTTTTCACTCCTCCCCCCTTAAAGTTGAAATTAGAAGTTTAAAAATATGGACGATTACCAAGTATAAGTTAACACCCAATAAAACCACTCACAGACTTTGATCAAAATTTTAACACTGTAAATAATGATGACATCAAAGAAAGCGACAACAACGTAGAAACTTTGTCGATGCATGAAGAGGTTCGATGGTTTGATCGCTAATCAAAAATTTTTTCACACATTTTTTTATGGTCTCATTTTTAGTTGTACGAATGCTGGGAATAAAAGTTTGCCATTTACTTAAGTAACCAGCTACTGTTGACCGTCATTTTTCTGAATTCAACACTAGGTCTTGTTCAACGTTACTGTTTTTTTTAAAGGTAAAAGTAGTTGTTGCTTAGGTTGTTCTTGTATTGATTTAATCGTTATTTTTTTCAGCTCTCAAATAAAGTTATTTTTCAGTTTTAGGGACTTTACTGTTAAATAGAACAGAACAAAAACCTTGTTGCAGAAGAAAAATTATTTTATGTTTTTTTTTTTCCTACTTGAACTATTCTTTACAGCTTATCTCGACGTTCAAAATACCTTCTACTTGAGTGCAATATTGCGGTGACGTAATAGGGGGGGAACCAAATGTTGATTAATATGAACATATAAGTTGGCGAGAAAATAAAAAAAAAAACCTCCTTACATGATTTATAGCTTATCAGCGCGGCAATTTATTTGGATGTCATTGTTCTGTATCGTACACAATATTTAGTATTATAAGAAATATAGGGTTGCAACAGTTGAAATAGTTTAGTTTAAAATTGATTGATTTTCATGTTGCTTGAAATACTGCTATTGTGTGCAAAAAAGTTCTGTAAATTTGATTCCGGTGGATGCAGGTGACGACCGAGTAGATTATGAAGTGTCATTTTTCTTCTTTTTTCATGTTTTTATTTTTTTTTTTACTTTTAGTTCTTTATTT